GTGGCAGAAATTCATTTTTCAGGTGGGGGGGGGGGCTGGGGGGGTCGAAACCCACAAAAACAAGCAAATTTGCCGATAAATAACAAAATTTGCCAACAAAAGCGCTAAAACTGTTTTTTAACCGACAATTTGGCAAAAGCTGGGGGGCGGTTGCCCCACACCCCCGCAATTTCCGCCACTGCCTTTGTTACATGCTAGTGCACGAAAAAACGGAAACTATTTCTACATCGGCAAAATCACTGGGTTCTCATTTCAAACGCAGATACGATGTTTTGTAATATAGCGATTGGAATAAACAACTTAGGAAAACTAAACCCTATATTGTGAAACTAGAAATACACACAGCTACGGGTTTCAACGAAGTAGGCAGCTTAATGGGCTAAACAATTGTTCTGAAAAGTTTCCCACATAAAAAATCCGAATCATCAGACATAAAAATAAAGATACAAAACACGTCGCATGAGAAAAGTTGCTCGTTCATCAGATAACGGCAATCTTTTCGTTTAGCCGCACATTCTTGCATGGGAATTATCACTTGGAACTACCCATAGCCAGCGTAGAATCTAGAAGGTAGCTAAGGTGAATCACAAAAATCTGATAAGGCTAACAATCGCTGTGTCAAACGTTTACGAACGTGGATACAGTGAATCGATTTGGATACAAAAATACAAAGAACTGTTTTTGATGACAACTGTAGTTGAAAGAGTTACCGGACAAGACGAGAGAAATCTGAGTTCACAAACAGATAGGTTTATTTGTGGCACTAAGCGGACCTATCCCTATGCTATACAGTAAACTCTTGATAAATCAAACATATAAGGATCTTATAGAACGGGTTTGAGTTATCGGGATTTTCAAATAAAAGTTTTTGGCAAGAGGAATGTAATTTCAGTTCGACTAAGCGAATGTTCGAGTTATCGGGAGTTCAAAATATCGGGAGTTTACAGTATAAAGTATTTTCACGTTATCGCAATTCCAGAACCAAATATGAAGATGTTTAAGTCCGATAAAGAAGTTTGGCTGCTTCGGTATTGAAAACTGAGGGTCGACCAACAAAATCAATCCCATACGGACGCCAAGAGGTCCTAGTTACGATGCTAAATTGACGACTGCGAGATTCGTTGCAGTTAAAAAATTATTGCTAAGAGGAGATGTTCTAATGTACTAGTGATAAATGAACAAGCTATCTTGCATTGACTAACGAATTGAAGTCTAGAATGATTACGAATCAAGGCTTTAGTATCAATGAATCGCTTCTGTGTTTTGCAATGAGTGAGAAATATATAAATATATTATTCAAAAACCAACTTTTCTATAATAACAATCAGATTGTAAGCAAAGTTAAATATTTGGCAGAAAATTGTTTTAAAGGAAAATAAACGAACGTACCATGAAAGTGGAATATTTTCCAATCCCAACAACACACTTAGCATGTGAAAAACAAATGTGTTTTTGACTGACCGAGAGCTAGATTCTAAATAAACTCTGGATACCGCGAGCTTCACATCAGAACATAGTGATCAGAACAACTCATTATTTCACTCAGAACTAAAATCTAGCGGTTTGCAACTGGTCACCCTATGTTACTTAGATTTGAGAGCAAGCACATGTCATGTATGTGAATTGAAAAGAGACACGGTCACCTTGTGTCTTTCGGTTACGTAGATGGTAAGTCAAGTCTATGTATGGTTAACAGCGGTTATCGTTTGGGAAATTTATAAGGTATCATTTGATAAATTACAGTTCAAACGGCAGTGCTGGATGGCATTAACGCATTATCTAACAGTATTAGCCTCAGAGCAATTTGATGGCACGCAGACCCGTTTAAAGCATAGCTTGACATTCAGGCAAGGTTTGGTGCAATGCTGGCTGAAAGCACCCACCGGGGGGTAACACCCACCCTTCTACCTGCACTCAGTGGTCATGCTAAAGTATATTAATCACAATACGTTTCCCTTAAATCTCAACAGCATCCCTGAAGAAGTGAGGCCTGCCCACCCTTGTTCATCTGGGCACTTGATAATTCAGAAGTGGTGGCGCCGTGGGAGGAAAGAAGTAGGGGGGGGAGCACGTCTCAGACCAAGTTTTCGGCAGGGTCAATTCTGTATTAGGTCTAGATTTAATGAGAGAATGCCAGTGAAGGGGTATAATCTTGGCAATGTATACTTACGTAGTGATGTGATACGTGGGTGTTCCCTATATGTGAAATGAGCGTTTCCTATTGTGAAATAGGCGTTTTCTTCCAAAATTCTTGAGGGGCACGGGGCTCTTTATCCACGATATACTTTATATTCGAATCAAGCATCCAAGGAAACATATTATTTATCAACGTATCTGCCTTGGGGGGATGAATTGGAACATTGTGAAAACAAAAACAATTGAGTAGATTTAAAATTGCTATGTTTGCAATTGATGTCAATTTGTAAGAAGAAATGTTGAACATTTTAAAGATTTGAAATATCAGCAATATTCTATTGTCAAAATCACAAATATTTCAGAAATTCATTTCCGAAATAGTAAGAAAAAATCTATTTCAAAAGATGTTTTCAAAACTGCCAAAATGATGTTAAAATAAATTAGAAAGTAAAAAGGAAATAGATGGTTAACTGAAAAGAAAATATCTTCAGCAAACCCATTTCGAGACCATATTCACGGCCAAGCTGAAGCGCCATGCGACCATACAGGAAATCATCCCTTTCTGTTGTATATTTATTAACTTTCAGAAAATATCAATGTTTTTTCCGGTGCATCCTTCTGTTGTTCGAAAAGGCTAACCCGTCCACAAAACGTTTCTGTTCATCAAATATGTCAACAAACTTGGAACTTCGTTTGCACGCAGCCTCAAATTCAACAGGCCTTAAACTCACTGATCTATAAAAAAGACTGGGTCAAGCCTTCTATTGTCTTGAAACACCAAAGTTTGAAGCCCATTCAATTTCAAAAGGAATAGGCCCCAAACATTGGCGGGAAGCCATTCTTCAAAAACAATACTTTAACGATATGGAGACGCCAGAGCTGCAATGTTGTGTCGAAAAAGAACAAGGCCAGAGCAGCTGAAAACATTGCTAGGGGTGACAGAGAAGGCCGTCTCCTCGCAAGGGCTGTTCTGGGGCCCTCTTCTCGGATGGCGACACTCTTGTCACAATAGAAGCTCGATCCAGCCTTTTTTATAGATCAGTGGCTAAACTCCGTTTGCACGCAGCCTCGATTTCAACAAAGCAGGAACCAATCCAAAATTGCATTAGGAAAAAGGCATACATGTTAAAGGTTCGGCTCTAAACCATTCTAGACCGGTCTGGGTAGCGCAAATTTTCTTAGAAGTACTTGCATGCTAAATAAGTAAAATAAAATATATCCATAAAAAACCAATGCATAAATTCGACCCGTTCTATGCTACGGGGTTGTTCTTGAGACCTGTTAATAAACGCAGATTTAACGCGGGCACAAGCGCGGAAAATTCACACGATAAGCCACCGTAGCAAATAGTTTTGAAAGGAGCTCGTTGAGATTTTGTAGGTACCAGCTCATGCGCGTAAAACATGCAATCACAGCAACCCAAGCGTGCCACACGAAATTTTGAATAAAACTTCTGTATATTTCAAAATAATATACTGTATACGCTGGAGACAAAATAAAAGTCGAATGAAATGGAAAACTAACAGGTATTCATAAAATCCTGGATTTGGGATAAGAAAAATAGTGAAGCCTACGATGAATATGGACAGGTACGTCGTAACTTCTAACTTTACTGTTTGCCTTGAAAAATTTGTTATTTACACTGGCATATCTCTAGACACACTGCTTAGGTGACGTGAAAGAAACTAATAATTAGGATATCCAACAACAGGTTGAGTTTAACATTTTAAAATCGATCAGCAAAATCTAAATATAAAGTGCCTTTTCCCATTTTGCAATTGCTTAAAGTCTCGAAAGATCGATCTTTTTGCTCGCAATGGAATTGCTCATTTTAATGAAAAAGTATAAGATACATTTAATATTCCAAGCAGATATAATCATTAACACAAATGCGGCGAGTTACAAAAGTTTTGATGGTTTTCGCTTCGTTTTCAAAGTGAATTTAGAAACTTTTCAAGGGTTCCTCAGACGTGCAAATCATTCTTTCTATTTACTTTCTCTTCTACGATCAAGATAGTCATTTAGATGCTCATCGGGGACTCTATCAAAAGGCTGAATTTGTTTTCATAAACTGGCTTTTAAAAAAGCAAACATTTTCGTCTGATACTTTTTAGAATAAAAAGGTCTAGATAAAGATCGAAAATGTGAAGCTAGAAAAAGTGCAATTTGTGGATCGGCCAACCAAAGGCGAGCACGTGACTGAAGAGGTTACCCAATCGCTGTTGCATGCCTATTGAAAAGATCTGTGATAGAGTTCTGTATACACTACTTATTGATGATTTCCCCTTCTGAATCGATAAACAATAAATAAAACGACGATGATAATTCAAACGTTTTGAAACTTGTTTACGTTTCCGCTAATAGAATAAATTCAATTGTTGCTGGACTCGTTTGTTGCCTAATGCATTTCAGGGCCGTCAAGAGAGGGGGACAAGGGGGCAAATCACCCCTAGGGCCTCGAGGTGTAAGGGCCCTCGTAAAGCAATGAATTCTGTTTTGAAATAAAATTAATGAAAAGTAACAAAATTATGTGCGAATAAAGGAGAGACCACGATAGCAGGCTGCTCGACGGACTCCGGAGGAAATCTTGCGGCGAAAAATCGATAAAATAGTAGTGTATAAGGAACACCGCAACGCAACGAGAATAAATAACAACAAACACACAAATCAGTGATGGTTAATATTTCGCCCCGGCATACGGGGCTTCATCAGAGCAAAAGTAAACGAACTAAAAATTTACAAATTTCAAAGAGGCGATCGTGGTGTAGAATTGGTTGATGTTGAATGGTGTGAATGCAGCGCAGCGGAGAGGAATAGGTAATAGATGTTGAAGAGTAAAACATTTAAAGCTAATGAACGAATTTAAGCTAATTAAAAGGGCGTGGTCGCAAAATTTTCTGCTTGCTTCGCTCGCAGGTTCCTCATCCTCCGGGTTTGCTCCAGGGCCTTCAAATTCTCTCGGCGGCCCTGACGCATTTAGCCTGTGTTGAAGACATAGAAGTAAAGGAACTTACAGCGGCAAAATGAGCTTGAAACATAAAACATTGCTGTTCATTCCTGCGATGTAAAAGAAGCACAAATGCACCATAACTTTCTCCGGAAAACTTCTATGGTCTTTATTTCCTCTCCCATCCTTTTCAACTGTCATTAACGAACCAACAATGTCTGCTTAAGTCCTTGGATGTTCACAGCATGTTTGTACCTTTACTTCCTTTCATGATTCAAGGTGAACCTTTCTCTAAATATTTTCCCACAGCAGTTGAACCCAGACAATGATCATAAAATTAGCTGTTTTTATAAAACGATATTTTACATTAAACATGATAAGAAATCTATAAATGGGTGTTGAAAAATAAATTTTCTAAAACTGATGATAATTTGTATCAGTAGAAAAATATTATTGAATTGATGAAAAAGAAACATTAACTAATTCCTGCTTATTGACACATACATAAAGTTTTCATTTTTTAGATTCTTCATCCAAACCATGATGCTACTAGGGGTCATTCAGATTGTCAGAGTGTATGGCAATATAGATGAAGAAAGCGGGGTAATTGTAATGGCTTTCACATGTAAAATATATCTAATTCGTGTACTATTGCTAAGAAATATTCATACACAGTTCTGTATTTTTCCCCAGCTGTCAAGTGATAATTTTTGTTTGTTATGCAGGCAACAACTGCTCCAGGTCTCGTAGAACTTTGTGCAACTCGAAGAGTTACAGTATAATAAGTGAAATTTTTACTCGAATTTTGATAAAAAAAATGAAAGCTATAGAAATACTTAAAGCTATAGCAATTGTCCGTTGGATTTTCATTTTTTAAGGTTCTAGAGGGCATTGTCTTCCTTTCATGGGGCCCTTGCGAAATGCACTAACAAATATGTTAGGAGTGTTCTGTGTAATTTTCCGCCTGACATGTCATTATGATAGAAGCAATTGATATGTGATGGATGTCTAAAACGCTTATTACTTCCATATTCCCACCGATATTTAAGGTTTTTTAGCATTTTTACCTTTTCAATAACAGAACAGTGGGTCTGGCGCGCAAAGTGGCAATTGGGTGGAACCTTCATCGGGTATGCTTGGCGATGAAATAATGCCTCTTTCAAATGTTGAAAACTTTGAAGAAAACAATGACGGTGTGGAGAAACGAGGCAAAATAGAAAGAGTTGAAGCTGTCAAAACTGGAGCAAAGAGGATTTGGGTAAGTACGAACTATTGGCCAACCCTTATAACACAATACCTTGCTTAAATGTTGGAAAGAGCAAAGAGACGATATGAACTGGGGACTGAACGGCAGCATTCCCCCGAAGCATATTATTTACGTAAATTTCATTTGCTTCTGGCATTCATTGGAAACATCAAAAGTCTGCTTGCCTTCTTGGGGTTTAAGTAACTTTTTTTCATCAAATAAAAATCAGCCTCTAGAATTATACGGTAGCAAAAGAAAATCAAATCATTCTATGCTATAATAAATTGATTATCAGTTGAATAGAGGGTGGTCAGTTTTCAGATGATATTTTCATTTTGGTCAAGGCACCAATCAAATGTGTTATTTTTCCACCCACGTCACTTCCGAGCAACATCTGGATATAAACTGTCTGATTAACTTTGGTCATTATCTGAAGTTTATACTCTAAGACATTTGTATTTAAAGGCACTATGTCCCGTCCCGTCTATGTCCCGTCCCGCACTATGTCCCGTCCCGACTGTCAATGTCCCGCACTATGTCCCGTCCCGTCTATGTCTATGTCCCGTCAATCAGCCGTTCAGAGTTAACAATAGGCTTTGTAGCGTGTTTAAGCACGTTGTGTATCCGCTTTTCCATGCTTCCTTCAAATTTCTCCATTCCAATTGTTTGTTTGGTTATTTTCTTATTACTTCTAAAACTGTTCTGAATGCAGCATGTGTATCAATAAATTTTTTGTTTACTTCAGCAATATATACACCCTTATTACCATTGGGCGAATACACAACCGGCACCGCCAAAACCACTGGTACATACCGTACAGGATGGGCAGTGCTTTGATGAGAATTCGCTTTGTGACGTTGGTCACGATGAGCAATGCTGTGGCCATGCATCGTACTGTGTGGACTATTGGGGTGTTGGCAAATGCCTTGCCTATAAACAGCCTGATATTTACGACAAGCTACTTCCTGTAAGAATGCACCGAAACAACATGTATAAAGCGTACATGCGAAAGATGCAGTATCTCGCAGCAGCAGGCAAATGATGGGAGGTTTATTCCGTGTGAAATGCGGGCGATGGGCAGCCAAAGAAAGACTGGATGTCATTTACTAAACAAGTGAATACTGGCAAGCGGTTTTACGGAATGATGACACGTGCACAAAGATCGTAGACAGTAGATAGATGAAGGGGATGTTCTCCATGATCAAGCATATTTGAGGAGTAACCGAAAGATAGCACCAAGTTGCCTTCATCTTAGCACTTCTATCATTGGAGTAATGTATTAGTGTCTTACAACTTGCTTTCGAGAAGAGAAGAATTCAAGTGGAAGATATTGCAAGAAACCAAAGTTATTTGAAATTTCTGAACATTATTTCATAAACATAAACTGGAGTTCAGCGATTTCTACTTACTCTATAGACTAAGCTATTGAGGACATGCTGAAACGCAAATTTGTCAGACTGAAATGATCTTTGCAAACTTTGTCTTCACCACAGTTGGTTTAAATTTGTGAAATTGTGAATTTGTGAAAAAAAACGCTCAAAATCTTTATTACAGAATTAAAAACAAAAGAAAAATTTTGAATTGTTCTTCTTTGATTTATTTTATAATGGTAAAGCTCTTGCAAATCTTTCATATGCAACATACTTTGGGTTCCTCTTTCCCTCTAAAAGTGGCAACATTCAGTAAATGCTGGGAGATCTTTATGCAGCAAAAAGGGATTGGCTTTGAAAGTTTTTATTTTGTAACTTTTCACCAAACCGAGTTATAGAAAAATCATCCTTTCACTATTGTCTTAAAGACATTTATTGATAAGCTTTTCATTTTAGCATCATATACTGTAAATCCTCGAATTGGCCCCCCTTGAAAAAGCCCCCCCTTGAATAAGCCCCCAGGGGGCTAATTCGAGGATTTACAGTATATGACAAACTTGTTGATAACTTGAAAAGAATAAATGTTGATTCATTCAAGAGCAAGCTAACAAGAAAATTCATTCAGAAATAAAACACTCAAGTGCTATGACATTATATTAACAATACAGATACCTGAGATACAGGTTATTGGTTCTTTTTTGCCTTGTATTCTTTGACTTTTTGTTGCTTTGGTTTTTCTTCTGTCTTCTTTTTCTCTGGCTTCTGCCAAGTGAGTGGGCTCCTCCTGAACCATGGCCAAGGAGGTAAAACAAGCTGGAAGTATTCAAATATGGGATCAGTCATAACAATAACATGTTGGCAATAGAAACACAAAGTAATATTATTGCTTCATTTAATGCCCCAGGAAATTGTATTAACTCACTTAACAGAAGTTTGAGTTATGGCTTGTCAGGCATGGATCTAGACCGGTTGAAAGGTTTCAGAAAACAGGTCACATTCTCAGAGCTATGTTTCTCTGTGAATCTTGAAATTTTCTCTGTCTATCAGACGGACATAAGATAAACAAATGGAGTGCGGTAGTAGGGATATATCCTGAGGAGGCAAGATGATGATGTATTTTTGTAGTAAAAGAAAAACGATTTACTGAAGGAACAAAACAATAAAAGACATTTGTTGAATGTTTTGATGACAACTATAATTTGATGCAAATAATTTGTTTCAAGAAAAAAACCAAAAAGACTCACCAGAGAAGAAATACCAGCACCAATAAAAACAAACAGAACTGTTTGTGAAAACTGTTCTACGAGGAATCCATAGATAAATCCAACAATCTGAAAAGAAATAAAAATGCTATTGAGATAAATATCAAAGAAAATCTGAATGGTTGGAATGAAGCTGGGTTTGGATGGGATATAATAAGATCCATATCACTTCATGAAATGTTGATAAATCTATAGTTTATGACGCACTAAACTTTACAATAAATATTTCCAGACCTGGTTGTGAGGATTTTGGTAGGTGGGCGGTAGATCTCTCTCCTTGTTGGAGTAAGGCGAGCAATTTTAACAAAATGTAAAATTTGTCAATGAATTTTTTTAGAAGCTTTTATAAGCCAGTTAGAAAGAAAATGGTCTTTTAAACAAAAAAGAAATAATCTTTCAAGTACTTTCTGCAACTGACACTAAGTTCTATCTTCTGTGCTTGGTAATCTTAAATTTATCTTCATTAGGATTTGTTTCTTATTCACTAACCCCTAAACTTCCTCTATGCTCTTAACTCCTCAAAATTGTTCCATTTTAAAATAATTTCTTGCCATGTTTTACAGCCCAAAACAAGATAAACATGTAACTTTAACTTGAAACATTTCTCAACACTTTCTGAAAACTCCTTCCATTATGGACTTTACAAAAATGCTGTTAACACACTTGCGTGTGGAAGAGGGGGGTGGGGGGAGTGAAATTTGAAAATGCTAATCTCATTTGGTTTCAACATGAAAATTCCTCCTTGAAGAGTAACAAAGCAGGCCAAAGTAACATTGTCATGATATTGTGTTTTGTTTTAATTATGTAATTTGCTGAATGTTATGTTCTGTCTGTGAGGAAGTGTTTTTAAAAAAGACACAAGGGCCTGATATTTTCTCTAGTTTCATCAGATTACCACTATTGCTAGGGGTTAAGGGAGATCAAACATGTGCATGGTAGGACAATTTTGCATTCGTTTTCAATATCTAAAAGCAGTTAACAAGTGGGTGTGTTTTTTAGAATAGAAAAAGTTATCTGATAAATTTTTGAAATATTTGAATAGAAAGGGGTTTAAAAACCATGGAAAAGCATATTTATAACTAAACATTAATGCTTGAAATAAGATACTCGATCAGGCCTGGCCGTTTGTATTTTCATAGGTGAGCTGTGAATTGCTCCCCTCATTTGCTGAGGCGAGCTAAATCAGTAACACATAGAATGTACTTTAAAGACAATCGACAGATGACTCAATAAGCCCCTTTAGTATCTGTTGGTTGCCTTAATGTAATAGCCTCAGTCAGGAGTGTGCTGTTTTACTTCTTTCAATTTGCATTTTGCACCCCCTTTACTTGAAGTATTTGAAAGAACAGACTCTCTCCGTTTTATGTAAAGCTGGCACAACACAAAAACAACAATTCTCTTGCAAAACAATCTTTTTGTTGCACAGAATTTGAAAATGGCTTTAAAAAACAAATTTTGAAACAAACTTAATTATACGTCTAGCACTCTTCAGAGAATAAAACGTCAGAACATAGAAGGAAAACTCTACGCTAAAATACCCAGTTTTGGATCGAAATAGGCCATCAGAAAACGCGAGGACATGACTGTTGAGGTTTTCCAATAAGTGCCCCTTTCCTATTGAAAATGTTACCAACGGAGTCCTAAGGTGAAAACGAACTCACTTATGTCTACACAAAAGCAGTCGGCCATGTTGATATAGTAGATAGATTCACAAACTGCTACATAGATGGAACGATGATCAAGCTTTGCCAATAATGCGAAACATGTCGCCGTTATAGTTTTTCACCCAATCTGGGTTTTTCAGTAAATGCTGCTGGATAGTATAATTCCATGTTTTGGTTGTCGTTTTTGATCTGCAAGACAGAGTACCCTGTTCTCTTTGAGGGATAGTTTTGTTTCTATTGCTGGAAGGGACCTGCTGTCTTATTATATCCCCAATCTACAATTCCTACCCATTTCTTCGACTTTCCTTCCAAAAATATTCCTGTTTTCTTAGGATCGAAAGGTTCTAATCGCTACAAACGACGTTTGACTATTTCGGTTAACGCTACAAACGACCTTTCGGTTAACTATCCTTTTCCAAATAGATCGAAGTTTATGCCTATCATAACAAAAACCGCCCAACAAGCCAAAAGTTAATTGCAAAAAATGCAGTGACGGGAGAAATCGCTGTTACAAAAATAAGCCAATTAACCCCGTTTTCAGGGTTCTCTGAATAGGAAAAGGGCAAATGAATGGAAATTTTAGGGGAGCGATTCTCCCTTCATGTTCTGTTTAGGAGAGCAATTCATAGCTCGCCTCAGGTTGCGAGGGGAGCGTGGAGGCGAGCGCGAGCTATCGCTCGCCTCAAACGGCCAGGCCTGCTCGATATTTCTATGTAATTAACATAAACATGCTATGATCTCCCAAATAAATAGAAGCTTAAGAGGTGACAAATATGTTAAGCTTAAAATGCCAATGAAAACCTAAGGCTGGTGGTTAACATAAATATTGGTGGAAAGGGGGCAATTAATGACCCTTCTTGAGCGATCCAGCAGGGAGCAGAGGTGCCTGCAAGCCATCACTTCCCTCAAATGGTCAGGTCTGTATTATAGAACATAATTGGTTTATGACATTTCTTTTGATGTTGAAGCAGAAAACATAAACCAAATTCTTTTCTCTTTGTCAAACTTCTTCTATAAAGATCCCGCTACACCACCTTAAAAATTATATTGTTCAAAGAAAACTTGTATGATATTTGAAGTGAGTGATAAATATATATGTTATACAAAATATATGTTAGTGCTCATAGGATACAAATATCCAACCATAAAAAGGACTTACCGCAAATAACGCTATTATGACTTGGTACAGCTTTTCTGCTTTCTTTTGGCCTTCAAAATCCTATAAATGAGAAAAGAAAAAATCTAAAAACTTTGCACTTCAACAGAATAAATGCTTCTATTTTTGAAAATCTACAAACTTAGCATTTTTACCTCCTTTCTTAGCCCAGCCACAGCGCCAATGCATACTCCTTCATACACTTTAAACTACGTTTGCCCTATTCATAACTCAATATGATGAGAAAAAGACTTTCCATTTAGCTTTACCTGTTTTTTAACAAAAAGAAAACAAAATTTGAAGATCTCAAAACAAAACCTGTGTGTGAAAAACAAACCAACAATTCTCACCATGTGCGTAGGAATAGATTGGACATAATCGACTGATCTTTTAATAAATGGTATGCTAAGCAAGGCATTCTTCAATGCATCTTCTGCTTTGTCTAATATGTCCATCGCTAACAAAATTTCTCTAGAAACAACAGACCAAGTTAACTGTGAGTAAACTCTTCAAGTCAACGTTTTAATTAGGCCAGATTGAAGGAGAGGCCTGGATTGCAGGCGAGGCTAACTAAGATAAAAACTTTGGCGGGGAAACGAAGTTTGTTTGGTGCTAAAAATCGACTTAAAGGGGATCCAGGTCAGTTTAAATTGCCTCAACTTTGTATAAAATTGTCTAAAAACATTTATTGAAAACATCGATACTTGTATCATTGAGGTTTCTTGCTGTTTCTTTGCTTGAATGATTAAAATGTGGCCCTAAATTTAGTATGCACAAAAATTATGTTTTGAAAACCTCTTTTGTTCTTTAAAAAGAAAGGAAATCCTCTGTTTTTCTATGTTTTGATTACTATCTAATGTTTTAAAGTATTTTTGCGATACGAAGTGAAGAAACAAACACATCGATTGATCAGAATATTTACTTAAAACGGTTTCCACGTAACAGTTTGTTTGAGGTTGTTATGTTGCCAAAGTTAAACTTGCTGTCTTCATCAGTGAATATGTTTGCTTCTTTTTGCTCAGTATGATTTATTAACTCGAAGACCACGGCTAAAAATCATCATTCACCTTATTTATTTTATGAACTTATGTATGCACTCCCTTTTTACAAAATAATCCCTCTAAAAGATCATACTAGAGAAAATATGCTAAGTACTTTAGAAGTTTATTTTACAGCTGAGAGTCCAGTTTTTAAAATTTAGTTTTTATATCTATACAGTGCCGTAGGAATGGGGAGGCAATAAAGGGCAGATGCCACCCCCCCCCCCCCTTAATGGCAAAAGGGCGTTTTCTGGCGTTCAAAAGGGTGTGGACCTCCTAGCTCAACTCGCCTTTTTCGCCCCCCCAGTCTTACCACCCTAGCTCTGCTACTGGCCATTTCTATTTCAAAGTTGATTAAAATGTGTTTTATTCACAGGATTATGATCTAGCTTACATTTGAATATGAAGATTTTTGTGATAATGAGAAAATGTATCTCTTATTTTAAAATATAATCCTCATTTATCATCTTTATTCAATTTTTATAAAACTAGATGCTGACTTTTTAGAGGATGAATTTCTCTGAATGCTTTAAGCAGACTGGACAACTTTGCAAATTTTCTGCTGATGGAAAATACATTGTAAGTGACAGATTATCATTTTTTATAATGCTTAAACAAATATAAAGCTCAAATTAATTATTGTTGAGGTGAAGACAAAAAACATAACCTTATCAAGTTGCCTCCACACCCAACATTACAAATATTCCTATAGTAGCACAAGACAGCACAATACAGTACAATATGGCTTTGAAAAAAGCAAACATTTAGTAAACTAAAGAGTGTCAAGAGTGTCTGAAGAGTGTCAGACGAAAAGCTTTAGTTTACTAAATGTTTGCTTTTTTCAAAGCCATTTTCAAGTTTTGTACCACCAAAAAATTGTTTGCACAGTACAATATAGTATAATACAGTACAATATAGTATAATACAGTACAATACAACACAATACAGTACAATACAGCACAATACTGTACAGTACAGTACAATCCAGCACAATATGGCACAATACAGTACAATACGGTACAATACAGTACAACACAGTACAATACAGCACAATACATTACAATGCAATAAAATACAGTACAATGCAGTAAAATATTGAGAGTTCCATTTGAGAGTTCGTAATTCCCACCCTCCACTCCACTACCACATGTGAATAAGCTACCTCTTCCTGCCCATTATTACAATATTGTACTAAATATTAATTAATTTGTTAATGCTGATTATTGTAGCTTATTGTTGTTTGTAGCTTATAATTGTTTTGTAATTGTTTTGTATGGAATGAGAATTCACTGTATACCCAACACTGTCTTGTTTCTAACACATATCTAATTTATATTATTGACATCTTATTCTTACTTTTAGGCAAACAGCGTTCAGTATAGAGTAATAATCAGAGATGCAAAAACATTACAGATAGCTTCCTTATTCACTTGTTTGGATAGCATTGATGTTCTAGAGGTAATTGATACCATTATCAAGAGTTATTTTTTTAACCTTGAATCTTATGAATTGTTTCTGTATACCCTTTATATCTTTGTTTATCCATCAGGCTTTTGTCGGAAAGGCATGCGATGGCATGCGCATGCCCTGGTGCACACCTGCTGCTTCCCAGATGTGCAAAATATTACAAGTCTTCCTTTTTTTTGAAAGCAAAAATTTTCAATGATTAGTTTTATGGGTTTTTGTGTTGAAGTTAATTGTCAGACCACTTCAAAAAAGGCTAGACATCTTGTCAGGATTTTGGATTAAATATCTAATTCTGGAATAATCATAGCTCTAATCTACATGGGAAAAAGAAGTACAGCAGTATTTCCAAATAAAATCAATTTCAGAAAAAAAGACAGATTGGCAAAGTAGTAACAAAAAACCTTGACACTCTTGATGTGCTAGCTTCTTCATCAAAGGACGCAAGTGATAGCGATGACAGCATATTGTAAAACATTATGAAACTTTCCTTGATATATTGATTAAGTTCAGTTCTTATTTCTGTGAAACTCGAGCAGTTATATATCATATTGCTGGAATCATTGTCTTTTTTACGATTCCTGCATAGGCCTACCATAATTACCTAGATTTTTCCAAAGAATTAGTGTCACATGCAACCACACACCACCACAAGCCTGGATCACATCAGACGTGTGATGGTTAGCATGCTTGCTATAATTTTCCCACAAAGCCTGTCCATTGACATTTTTCTTATTTTTTCCTAATTATTTGTATTACCAAATAAGCCTTTGGTACTGCAAAATTTTAAAAAGCATGGAAAAGCAAAAATCTAGTATACTAAATTACTTTACATCTGACACTCCAAAAAGAAAACAAACAATCCCCCCACCTTTATTCCTCTCATATTACTTTCCATTTACATCTGGATATAAATGTTATGCTTGCCTTTCCACATTATCCAACATTTACAATCTGAGGAGCATCAGATGAGATGATGCTATTTTCAAATGTTTGCATTTAATAAGAAATCAAATCAATTATATTCTCTGAAAAACGTGGTTAGTGATATGGTCTGTTTTCAGATTAAATATGATTTCAAATTTTTCTTTTTGTAGTGGTCATCTGATTCACTTTTTATCTTATGTGGGAATTTCAAAAGAGCACTAGTTCAGGTCAGTTTGAATGTATGTTTATTAATGTGTTTTTGTAGAGAGGTATCTTCATTTCATTTAAAGTGTTTTGAAGATATCTAAACAAAGGACCATGACGACCAGAGACATCTATACACTGACAGGTATCAGGTGAAAAGTAATTTTATGTCATGCTATATTGCTGCTTTTTTATGCCATCTTAAAATTATATGGTACCAGAGGTTGATTTTATTACTAAATGTCTTGCATGGGAATAAAGAATTTACTTTTATCTCATATAGTAGCTTGTCATATGATTTATCTTACAGCAAATCAACAAATCGTCTTAGAACTTGAATCTTATTGTTTATTGCTGCAAGGTCTTTCATTTTAAAAATACACTTAAAGCGATACATTCATCCATACATGTTTTCAATTCTTACCTGTATATGTTGGCATATTTCCAAATGACTCGAGATCTCAAAAGAAGGGAGTTTGTCCACATGGTATTATTGCTAACAGTCACATGTGAGAAAGGCTATTTTTGTCAGCAAATCTGGGGGTTTGACCCCAAAACAATTGTCTTTCACTTGGCCCCGGCAACCAAACATAGTCAAACACATTCCTACTCCCAATCAAAGCTCAACTTATCCATTCATTGTGCTCATTATGTATGTATACTCAGCAAGAGCCATCTCTCTTTAATGATCTCCAATCAAATATCATTTCATGGTTGCATCCTTTAACCTTGGACTTGAACTTTCCTGATTTTTTGCTTCAAAATTCAAAATAAAAGAAACACACTTTGATTGACAAAAAGAGCTCACCCTTTTTTTCGACCTGTAGCAACTGGTATATTTCTTTAAAGATTGTTCTTGTGTTGCTTTGTTTTATTGCAGCTCAAAATCACTGTATGTCCAAATGTTATCATGTTGCAAATTATTGCATACAAAGAATTTTTGAAGGCTATTTATCAAATGTCAAAACTTCAAAGCATTGTCCTGTAACTCTTGAGATCCTCTAAGGCAGCATTATGAGGCTGATTCTATTTCATGTACCATATTGTATAAAGTTATTGTTAATTGAACAAGTTATTTTTCATAGCATTTGTGATCTGTTAGTATTAGGTGGTATGGTCTATAGTCTTGAATGCTGCTGACATGCTTTGCTCATAAAAGCATCCAAATTTCTTCCAGCCAGTTTTCTTTACATTGAAGAACATTCATTATTACCGTAAAACCTCCAATAAACCCTTCCCTCTTTTAAACGCCTCCCTCTAATAAACGCCCCTTCCCAAAGTAGAATTTTGTATCTGCTATTTGATTACAGTACTTGTGTTTAACATGATGAAAGAGATTTTTTAATTTTTGAAATAAATGCCTCCTTCTTAGAAACGCCTCCTTCTAATAAACCTCCCCCCCCCCCATCAAAATTTAAAAGTAAAAAAAATTGAATAAACGCACCCCCCCCCCCCCCCCCGGAGAATTTATCGTAAGATCTACGGTACTTAGGTTTTTGGTGCATAGAATAGGACAGTTCTGTTAAAACCGGGTTTTTAACAGTTGCCAGGTTCAGGTTACCAGTTACAGTTACGACCTGACTTACAATTCATAATGTATGATGGTTGATACATCTATGTCCATTAATAAAGACCATTGGCCTTGTTTTTAGGTATGGTCAATAGAACACTCTGATTGGACCTGTAAAATTGATGAGGGTGTTGCAGGGCTTGAAGCATTGAGATGGGCTCCAGATGGCCGACACATACTGTCAACCTCCAAATTCAAGGTAGACCAATGCCTTTTTCTATTGGCACGCGTAACTGATTTTATTTGTCTTGTCATGCTACCACAGCCAGTTTAAGGCTCGGGTTAATGCCTTAAAAAGCTTCACTTTAATGTCACCTTTACGTATAAAGACCATTTGTCCTGATCTACTTCTAGTCATTGCTAACCATCATGCTCACGCTACTGTGAGATAAAAAAATCGTTGATGCCAACTGTTACAGAAGAAATTATTGCCTCTTACTACCAAGCTCAACTAATCCCTTCATTGTGCTCGTTATGTAGATGCAGTCAGTAAGAGTCACTTCCATTTCCTAATCTCTACACTATCAAACATAACTTTAATTCATGAGCCCAACCTTTAACTCTGGACTTTTAAGATTTTGTCTTCAAAATAAACACTGAACGGAACAAATTTTGCTTGACTGCATTCAGATCCACAAAGCACCGACAAAGAAGTTTTGTTGACAATTATCATGATGTCTTTCAATCATTGCAGCTCCGTATCACTGTTTGGTCGCTCATTGATAAAACAGTATCATATATACGATATCCAAAACATACAAATCAAGGTGAGTTGGCCTAAAAAATCTTTACCATTTGAATCAGAAACAGTTAAATAATACTATGTAAAGAAGCATTACCTGGAAAAAGTCGGTGGCATTTTCAATGTTTTCTTTTTGCGTCTTTATTCTCGTTGAGTCGTTTCCTCGACCTGTCAATCAAGGGAATGGTAGCTCGTTCCCCTAAATGCTGAAAATTTCCAAGCCTGTTAATGCCCACAAAATAAGGAAATTTGCTTATTTTTGCCCTCTTCCCTCTCTATTGTCAAGGTAAGTAGAATGAATTGAATGATAAACCACTTGCTATATGTGCTATTGAATTATCCATTTCGCGCTTCTACTTTTTTATTTTATTTTTTTATTCACTTTATTTAATGTTGGTTTACAAAATAATAGCTAATTAACAGCTAATTAACATAAACAGCAACAATAACAAATATAAGAAAAATCGTGATGTTTACAAGTATCCAATACTAGAAATATATGGTGTGTATAGTCTACACGAGCAAGTAAGATCCGTCTGTTTAATTTTAGCTTTGAATACTTCACAATTTTCTGTCAATCGAATGGCTAATGGTATAGAATTCCTAAGTTAATTACATCTTTAGGATATTGTATCTAGCCCATAAGAAAAAGTGTTCGGCTTTATTGTATAAACGATTGATTTCGTAAATTATATGCAAGTTCATTCAACTGAAATATTTCTTTCATAAATACTGGATTTAAGTTATTTACTGTTTTGTATATTTCTATTGCTAGTAGTTGTAGGTTCTTTTGATGTATCCTGACATCATTCTTTTGAGAGAGAATATTTTCAAGGCTTGATTCAAATTCATTGTAAGCCACTCTCATTGCCCTTTTATGGATACTTTCAATAAGTTTTCCAGATTTTTGGCTACAATACATCCATATAAGAGGGCAATAGTTAAAGTGACTAAGTATAAAGGGTTTTATCAATAGCGATCCTGTATTTTCATTATTTTATATTCATTCTTGATAAGCCCGCTTTAGTAAGAACTGTAAAGGAGCCTTTCATTTTGCATTTTGCAAAATTTATATTATTAGTTTGTGAAATTTCAACTGAATAGATTTAGTATTTGGTACAAGTGTTTAGAAGAAATTTAATTTAGCCTCCAATCAACTTTGCAGAGAAAATTTTTTAAAGCTTATTATCTAAGATGCTGCTTAGATTATGATAACATTTCCTGACAAAGCTCTTATTGATGTTCGTTGTACCTTACGCTTCAGAAATGGTGTTTAACATCCTCGCTTATTATGGCCTGTGGGTATGTTTAAAAGCAAGTAAGTGTCCCAACATCGCCTGGAAAAACGTAGAATAGCTAGAAATCTGAAAAAAGATTTATAAAATCTAACTTCGTTCAGAACAAAACAAGTAAAGTAATTTCAGGCGTTTTTAAAATGCTTGGTTTTTTGTTATCAACAGGACTAAGCTTCACAAAAGATGGAAAATTCATGGCTTTGGCGGAAAGGCGAAACTGCAAAGATTTCATTAGCATTTTCTCATGTGGCACATGGCAACTTGTAAAGGTAATTTATCGAGATTGTGGAACATTTGTACCTACTTTTGAGCAGTAGGAAATTTTTTCTGTATAGGGAGAAAAGGGAAGACCTTAAGATTATTGATTACCAAATTGCTGTCATATCGGCCTAATCTCGATTTAAAAATATACTCAATTTCCAAATAAATTTGAAAGAATCAGAAAACAAAAGTATATTAGAAAATGAAAAATTACTTGATGGACATCATTTCAAAATATATTGACATGTTTCAATAAGTTTTTTTACTAAAACATAATATTAAAAACAATGCATAAATTGCTCGGTGGGGAAATAGACAAAAAAGCATTAGGCGCTAGTCCCTGCTTTATGCGTTAGGGTATCCTCGGAGGTATCATGAAATAACACCTGGTGGTTGGACAGCCTGTTTGCTGATAGTTTTAATTGTAAGCTAATAGTTTTGACCTCATCAGAATTGTGTACTACCTAGAAATGGTGAAGGAGGACCAATTGAAACAAGCAGAAACACTTGAAATAGGACCTATTTCGTTAAAATAACTGAATCATTTTCAAAAGTAAAAGATAGTGTATAATGAAGCTGAAAATTTCAAAAACCAGATTACCAAGCGACAGAATCTAATTGAACTTATGGCTAACAAAAATGGCTAATTGAACAATTTCACTGCCATTGCGTTGATGATTTTTTTTGCTTTGTAGCATTTTGAAGCAGATACAAATGACCTTACAGATCTGGCTTGGTCTCCAGACGGTAGAATCCTGGCAGTTTGGGAATCCTGTCTTGAGGTTTGATGAATTGCATTGAAATTTCCAAGTTCAGTTTTCCTCATCCGATTCAAAAATAGCTATTACAATTTCTACAATTTCATAATTTGTGGCAAATCATCAGGAGATACCAAGGGACTTTCTTCGTATTTGGTTAAATGCTCGTTGCAATATTCATTTGTACAAACTTTCGTTGAAAATAAGCAATAGATCACAAAAAGAAGTCTCACATATCCATAATTTACATAACTGCTTTACGATTCTGTCTCGATACAATTTGACGCCTAAGCCCCATAAAACGTTATCGAGGAAGGCTGTAATCAAAGTTGAAGAGGACTGCAGCATAGGGCTCAAATCTTGATTGGATGAGAGCTTGCGCTAAGTCACGTGACCTCTCTTGCGCTAAGTCACTGCTTGTCCTCTGACATACGTCGTTGAATTTAGCTGTAAAGATCAAACCATTCTACAGAACGCATTGTGCTGTAGCATTCAGAGGGTGTTCTGTCTGTTGCGTAATATCACCACTTAAAGTTGATAGCAAAGCTGCTAGTAAAAATAAACATTCCATTTCTTGATGGAATGAGTGAAGTTAGATGTGTCTCAAAATGTGCAACGGTGCTGCAAAAATATTTTCTTTCTGGGAACCTGGAAAACAGGACAAAAAGTTTTCTGTGAGGTGAAAGTATTGTGTACTATAGCTCTCCAAATAGTATCCACAAATTCTTTACGCAAGGGCTTCTTATTTGTTGGGTCTAGAGAAATTTCCCAATATGATATCATAATTTGGTTGTTTATTACCGCTTTTTTGTCTTTGGCAAAGGTAATAGATGAAAATGAACCAGTTACCTGTTCATCCTTATAAGCCACCTTTCTAGCCTTTCATTTTATGTGATTGTTAATGTAAAAACAGTTCTTTTAACAAGTTTTGCTGAAAAGTTTTTGCCAAGTGAAAATTTTTTCTGGGAATCTAGTTCCCAAGTTCCGATACTTTTTGCAGCTCTGAGGTGCAAGTTACGTTCTTTTGAGGACAGCAGAACATAAATCAGCTTGAGGGCGTTGAACATGTTTGTAACCAACATCAAGGTTATTTTTGCATGGTTTTAAGGTGTATTTTTTCGAAATTATTGAGTTGCTTAAGGTCCCCCCCCCCAGTCCCCCGCTTCCGCGACTCCAGCAGTCTTCTCTCCATCAGCTCGAATCGATGAATAAGTTAAGAGATTCGATGAGCTTTTGTAAGATAAGATCATATTTAACATTATGGGGTAATCTTTGTCTTATTTAAGTTTTCATAGGCTTGACACTATTTCTGAAATACACAGGCCTAACTGGTTTTTTGCTTCCTTTGCAGTATAATATGCTGCTATACGCAATGAATGGCCGGATAATATCTTCATATAGTGCTTATGATTTTGCACTTGGCATCAAAGCAGTTACCTGGTCGCCCTCTAGTCAGTTTCTCGTTATCGCCAGCTACGATCAGTCGGTATGTACAAGCATAGCTATTCAATTGGAGAGAACAGGCCTAAACAAAACGTAAAAATCTCGTGATCTTAAACTATTTAATTGGTTTGAAAATGATTGTACCTCTAGATGCGAAATAGCTCCTTATCGATCCAATTCATCATAGATACGAGTTCTAAACAACATCACTTGGACAGCTGTCACAGAATTCAAGCATAGCTCAAGTATAGGTGATCAAAATGCGGTAAATAGTCTCCGTTTGTTTATTTCGTTATTTATGATGATCATTCATTCATTCATTCATTCATTCATTCATTCATTCATTCATTCATTCATTCATTCATTCATTCATTCATTCATTCATTCATTCATTCATTCATTCATTCATTCATTCATTCCTTCATTCATTCATTCATTCATTCATTCATTCATTCATTCATTCATTCATTC